CTTAAGAGAAAACTATTAACAAATCCTGAAAGAGAGGATGTGACAGAGGGGTCTGATTTTCTATTTGATAGCTCTGTAATCAAACAAAATTGAAGACTATAAAAATTATGGTTTGTCTGAGCAATGACGAGTTTATAGAGACTAATTTATGTTTAATTTCCTACTTTTTTGAGGGGTGATGGTTTTAAATAGGGAAGATGACGTGCTAAAAGGGTTTCTTTTAAATATTGCCTTGTGGAATTAAGAACTTAAAACATATATAGTATTAAAATATGGATTATTAGCTAAGATTTTATGCTATTCTAATTGTTATAACATAAACAAAAAGTAGTTTAATAAAATTTCAAATGTAAGACACTAAAACCTTGTGTCGTGCTCAGTAAAGGATACCCGTGGTGATAGAGTTAACTGAAACTTCAAACTAAGCTACTTTTGTTATACTTCTGTTGTGTTATTATTATTTATTGTTTGTTGGTTAGTTATACCCATGCAGTGCCTTTACAAGACACACAAGACCAATGCATTTGAACTTCAGTTCGAGTGCCACAAGAGGATGAAAATGGTGACACATTCCTCCTGGACGTGATGCTAGTCCATTACAGGTTACAGGTTACAGCTATTTACCAGTCATAAAGCTGGGTAGACTGGAAGAAGTGGAGTAAAGTGTCTTGCTCAAGGACATAAAAGCATGACACTGAACAGCCTCATATTCTTGACCATCTAAATACGAGTCCAAAGCGAGAAATCACTGAGTCATGCTGTCCATATTATTTATTGGTTATAGAATAATTCACAAACCTATTCATCAAGTTCATGTATCTAAACACTGTTTACAGAAACACATGCTTATCTAAAGTGTATAGATAGACATTTTAAAATTGAAGCATTATATAGTTGAATGTCATGTTTCCAGTAATTTGGGGATAAAAAATAATTTACTTTGCAAAGAAAAATTTGTGTAAACATAATATTACGAAAAAGTGTAATTAGTGATAGAATACAAGGCAAAGTTTTTCATAGAAATGCTATACTTGCTACATTTAAGAATCTTCCTATTTGTATTTTGGAAGATTGAAATTAGAAGTCACTGTGATAAAGGCAATCTATCCTTATTGTGAGGGTTTAGAAGTTTTCCTATTAATTTTTTGGAGATTCTCTTGCAGACCCATAGTTGAATTAACTCTATAGTGTGTTAGTGAAAACTAGTAACAATAGAAATATTGTAAACCCACAACTGCAATATGTAAGAATGCATCTTTACAAGTGTGCTGTTTTTATTTGCAGGACAACTCATGAGTTCTTATTTGGAGCCTTGGCAGAGATGGTGGATAATGCCAGGTTTGTTGACTACACCCATTTTAATTGTTGAACTAAGTAAGTTAGCTAGTAGCATGAACACATTTGGAGTATTTAAGACTGATAATCAGAGCGAGAGCTGCAATGAAAGGAATTGGAAATAAATGTCAGTCTTTGAGTAGAATACTTGTGGAATGAAAATGGTATTTGACTTATTCTTAATGTCATTATAGTAATTTTAAGATGTGCATATAATTTAAAATTACAATGTCATCTTTTATGTTTTTTAAAATAATTTTTCGGATCAAAAGGCTACATTATGAGTGAATCATTAAGATAGGTAGTTTTACCTCTGAAATATTGAAATCCTTTCCTTGTTGAGTTTGAACTCATGCTGTCAACAAAACATGACTTAGAATTTCCAAATCTTACACATAATTTTCCATTTTTACATCTTCCGTGTGACCTATTGTACAAGTACTAGAGAATGTTACATAAGTTCTGCTTTCCAGACATAATATAGATTTCTTTGTTGACATTCATACTGTTCATATCATGCAGTCTTTTTTTTTTTACTTAATGAATTCTGAAATACATGTAACTTCTGAAGCTAATACTTCTGTTGATGCTTTGGTCAATTTTTATACTGCTTGTGTTAACGATAATAATTATTCTGCTTCTGTTGAAGCCTTATTTCAGCAGTCTTTCCATGGTGTGCAGGGAATTCCTGTCACTGTATTGTTCATATTTATCACACAACATATTTATGCCCTTTATGGAAAGTCTTTTGATGGGTGTCTTTGACAAAAATGAGGGTTTCTTGGATGCCAATAGGCTGGGTCCCGTACCTATGTTTTTCTTCTATTTATGAAGAAGTAGGTTCTTTTGCTTAGGCTTTTTCACCTTTGTCTGAGAGAAAAGTTTATCAGTCAGCCCTAGTCCTGATAAAGCTCCTGCTGAATTTATTCCTCAGATATGTAACATTTTAAATGTTGAACATATTTCTGTTGCACCTAAGGGATCTAGTATGTTGTTACGGAATGCCATTTTGGAATCCTTATTCCCCCCTTCTGACATGTTGCAGCTAATTCTCTTATGAATAGAGGTAAATCAGAGGTAAATATAGTGTTTACCATATATTTCTCATTCTTCTGGCCTCTTAGGAAATCTTCTGTTCATCTATCAACTAAAACTTTAGCTCCTGTTATTGGTTCTTGCAGGGCTCATCCTTGTGGTCTTCATGTCAGTTATCTCATTTTTTACCATGATTATTTTGTGCCTTGTCTCACAAGCCCAGTAAACTATTATTATTTTCTTGATTTTTTTTCTCAGGATCAGGAATTGGATTTACATGTTTCTCTGGCTGCAACGCTTATTGACTTGGCTTCTGTTGCCATGTGACTTGCATGTTCTTTTGATTTATTTACTTGTACAACTATTTTCAATGGGATTCATTCTTCCCCCAGTATTACTAATGACCTCCAGTGAGACTCTTTTCTTTTTTTTTTCAACCTTTTGTTTCTTGCTCCTGAATTGTTTTTTTTTCTTGCCAGGTGAAGTTTGATAGGGCTGTGATTTTATGTATTACTTTTGGTCATCATCCTGCATTACTTTCTTCTTCTGCTGCTATATCTCAGTCCTCTACTTTAAACATTTCTTTTTGTTTTTGCTCTTTTTGTATTCAAAACAGAGGTACAAGTGGGATGGGCCAGCTCAACCTACACAATGACTTCTTCTGATACAGTCTTATCTCAATCTTCTTTCTGCCCTCCAGGCATTGTTAAAGAATATCACGCACAGCACATGTGTCTGTGTACCCCACCAATTTTGCACCACTACTGAACATATACATATCATGCGACTATTCTACATCAATACTATTGCACCACCTATATTAGCACAGATAGCTCTTTCTGCTATTCTTGCTCAATTCTCACTTTCTTGATTGCCACAGCTTCATTTAGATGTGTTTTTTTTCGCATGTGGCTACAGTTTATGCTTACATTTATTTACCATTTCATTTTTTTTCAAAGGTTTTCTTTTACTGTGTTTGCAGTCAGTTGTTTCAACATTTTTTTTGCCTTTTTTTCTTTTTACTGAATTATACGAGAACTTCATGTAAATTCATGATTCAGTGTATCGACTGTAGTAGTTCCCGTTACAATTGACAATGCTACTGGTACGACTTCCCAGGAATCTGGTTCAACTTTATGTGCGGAGGAGGTACAGGCCTTAATTAGAAGGGAGCTAGATTCATATGTTTGGCTTGTGATTTCTTCTTCTTTTTAACCTGAAAATGTTGCTTAGGAAGAATACAATCAAGGTGAAGACAATTTGGACTCTCTTTTCTGGCACCTTCTTATTTTGATCTGTCACACACTACACCTTTTCTGGTGATTTCACCTTTCACATCCTTTTTTACAGCTGGTTACTCAGGTCAGTGTTTGAGACGAGAGTGATTTTGCTAATTTTGTTTTTCCTGCTCCTTTTGCCATGCTTCCACATCGTTCACTTTGGTGGATGGTTGTTTTTCTCCCAGATCTCCCAATGGATTGTTGACAAGTTTCTCAACTTGAACACTTCACATCTGGGTGCTCAGATGCTCTATGTGACTTTGTCCTTCTTTACACATGGGGGAATTAAGTATTTCAAATCATCAGTGCTTGGACTTTGTTAAGTTAGACATTTATGTCCTTTGTTGTCTAAGTTAACTTAGATTTATTGTAAGTTAGATATTGATTATTACTTTGTTTTAACTGGTTTACACGTTTGTTACTACTAAATACCTTATAGACTAGGTAAATTTCGATGGTTTGTCAGTGTGATATTAATGAATGATTTGTTAACCAGATATGTACTTTACATATAATTCCTACTAGTAACCTCTAATTCATTGTTCTATCTGGATAATTTTTTTTTTCTCATTGTTAAATATGTGTCTTATAATCCTGATTTTCATCAGGGCTGAGCTTTGCTTCAGCTACATTTCCTACATTCTTGATACTGGAATCCAATTTTTCTTCTTGTACTCAACAATTCAGGGTTTGTCCCCACAGTGCTCACATCATTGATAGTTATTTATAGCTAGAAGTTGAATGTTCCAGTTTAGGGCCCTACTGTTTGGACTAACCTTGGCTCCTTATATTTTTGTTGGGTGATAAGAACTTTTGCCTGACATCTATGCTTGATGGGTCTTTGCACCCATCACTACATGGACGACTGGCTTCTTCCTGTTCACATTCCAGAGACCACACCCTTCTGCTCCTACAAGAAGTAGCATGAGTGGGATTCCTGATAAAGGTGGTAATATCCATTTTTATCCTCATTTAATACCTTGTTCATTTGGTGTTCCCAGCCATCTCCTCTTCATCTTTGGGATAGAGAGCAAGCAGTCCACAAGGCTCTCACCTCACATTCTCACACAGCTCAAGAGCTTCTATCTCTTTTGGGGATGTGGTCCTCCTTGGAAGATCTCATTCCCATGGGTCAAGCTCATATGCATTCTCATCAGTGGACACTCCTTGACCAGTGGAACTTCTACTCAGATCCCTCAGACCACCCTTTTACTCTTCCTTCCCCAATCAGGGCTAGCCTGTCTTGGTGGCTAAACACGAACCAGAGCACGGCGGGGGTTCTGCTTCCTCCACCTGTCCAGATTTACATTTGTTTATGGACACATCTTTAGAGAGTTGGGGTGCTTACCTCGACACTTGGGAGATTTCAAGTCTCTGGTCGGTTGAAGAGTCTTTTTTCCTTATCAACATTCTAGAATTTATGGTGTTTTTTTTATCAAAATGGAGTGGTTCCTGGATCCACAGGTCTTTCCATGGGTGTGTTCTCAGCTGGGAGCACCTCATACTGCTGCTTTTGCTATCCATTGGAACACTAAAATTCCTTCCTTTTGGTCTTCCATTCCACACCCACTAGCTCTGGGAGTGGATGCATCCAGTCAAGATTGGAGGGTGTCATCACATCTATGTTTACCCTCCTATTCAACTCCTCCCTTGAGTTTTATCCCTAATCTAAACCACTCCAATGCTAGTCCTCCTGGTGGCTCTGTATTTGCCAGCACAACTATGGCTCCTACTGCTCCAACCTTTACTTGTACAAACTCCCCTACCCTTGCCTTGGTCAGACATCATTCATACATATGTCATTACCATCCATCTTCATGCATGGCTTTTGTCAGGTCCATTGCCTCAGCCCAGGGACTGCCTCCACATGTTGTGTCTTTCCTTTCCAGATCCATAAGACCTTACATGTCCATTTACCAAAGGTGACGGGCTAACTTCTGACTTTGGTTTCTTCAATGGGGTTTCCATTCTTCATTTTTCCCAATTCTTCACTTGGTTGTTTGACAAAGGCTTGTCCACTGCAACTCCGTCTATCTATCTAACAGGCCTTGTGAAACACCCCCCATTTCTCCAAGTTTTATCTTCCCATGTAATTTCCTTCCTTTTCTGTTCCTTTTGGGTCGTGCGTCTGCCAAATTACTTTGATTTGCCTGATTAGAATCTCATTGTGGTTCTTTATGCTCTTTCCATCCTCCCTTTGAACCTTTGTTGATGTGTTCAATATACCATCTCTCCCTCAAGACCTGTTTTCTTCTCCTCACTTTCAGACATCGTCGATTATATATTTATGCCATTACTTTTACTAGAATCCTCTACCATTCCACTCATGTTATTCTATATCCAGACCGACCCTTCCTTCCTAAGACCTATGCTGCCTGTGAAGGCTGTTTGGTTTTCATACCCATTTCCTTACCTTCCATCTCCTGCCTGTACTCCTATTTTAATACAGATCAGCTTTTTTGTCCAGATTGCTCCTTATGGTGTTATGTGGCACATACTGTCTCTTTTCAGGGTTCATGTTCCTGACTTTTTCTTCCCTGGAATCCATCTTTTCCCCATGGTTTGTCCCCTGTCACACTAACTGGTTGGCATTTTCAACTCATTAGGCTGGCATATTCTGACTTATCTATGGAAGGTTGCTGTCTCCCCAACACTTCTTCTCAGCAAATTTGTCATATCACCATGTCA